AAAGAGGTAGGGGGAGTAGAAAAGGGTAAAGGGTGCATGAATGGTGATGGAAGCAGATTTGACACAGACAACATTGTGGTGGATTGCCACAGAGAAAAGGGGTTGGGGGAGGAGGGATTGAAGAGGGTAATGGGGGAATAAATGGTGATGGAAAGAGACTTGACCTGAGGTAGTGAACACACAATACAATATACAGATGATGTTTTATAGAATACAAGATTAAAATAGAAAATTAAATACAGGGCCTTGTATACCTGAAACCTATATAATTTTATTAACCAATGCCACCCTAATAAATTCAATAAAAATAAAATAAAATAAAAATGAAACAAGAAAGATAGAAGGTCTGACGTGTTTAACTAGAGTTCCTACACGAAAGTGGGGAGACAATGGGGCAGACGTGATATTTGAAGACATGACAAAATTTTCTAGAACTGATGAAAGATATTGATTTGCTGATTGGCAGAACCCAATAAACCTCATGTCGAATAAATAAAAGAAAATCACACCTAGATGCCATCGTGAAACTGAAGACCATCAAAGACACACACACAAATCTAACATGCAAGCAATAAAGACAAACAAACATTACACACTCCTAGGGACTCCCAGTTATGTACACTAGGATGCAAGTGGGGGACCCCGGAGTTGTGTAAGGTGAAAGCCCTGACTAAGCTGATAGCTGATTTCCTGACAGCAATAAAGGATGCCGGAAAGTCCTGGGGTGATAAGCACCTACTTTGAAGTATGAGAGCACTGGGGACAGTGTATAGGGCTGATTGGGGACCAATCTAGGATTTGGTAGGGGAGTGGGGATCGAGGCTTACATAATTTGGGACCTTCTTTATAAAAAACAAGGTCTTGCTCAAATGAGAACCCCCAAAGTTTGAGCTTTCTATTAAGTTTGTGGTAATTCCACCTCTGTGGGTACACATGTTCTCTTCCCATGTCCCAGCTCTCCTTCCTCCAGCATCAGTCTTCCCAGCATGGGCAGCAGAATATCATGTTCACCCTGGGCTCCTCTATTGCCCATCCTCATTCAGAGATCTTCTGAGCCAAACAAGATGGAACTCTTAATCCTGTGCTGGGGTCCAACATCAGCAGGTCCAGGGGTCCCCAAAGGTGTGGATGGAGTCGGCGAAGGAGGAATGACTTGGAGACAGCGTTCAGTTGAACAGCAGCCTAGCCAGGATCTCTAGCCAAGTTCTGGTCAGGATCTCCAGCGAAGTTCTGGTTAGGATCTCCAGCCAGGTTCTCTCTCTAAGTTCCATGTAAGTTCTGTCTCCTAAGTTCTGTCTCTCGAATCTTCATCTGAGTTCTCTGTGTAGGTTCTGACTTCTGTCTGTAGGTTCTATCTTCTCTAAGTTCTAGGATCTGAGTTCTGTGTCTTGGCTCTGTCTCTCTGTCTGCCTCTCTAGGTTCTGTC